TGTATAAGAGACACAGCAGATTGCTCTTAGACATCCAGGTAAGGGCAGGACCACATCTGGCTGAAACCAAAGTGGAGCATGAGGGGAATGGGGCAGGAGGAACACAGCTAGGACTCTCCTTTTTCTACATGTTTCCTGCAACATGCTTTACTCAGTCAATGATCTTTACCTTTGTTTTCATCTCATCTAATGCCCAACGAATTCAGATTTACCGAAGAGAATCCTCTAAGCGCTGGTTTCACCCACTCCAGCATCCGACCCAGGACTGGTGAAGCACTAGGGCCGGACGTGAGGGGCTCGCTGGGGGACCTGTGAAGGAGGTGAGAGGAGAGCGGCCTGGGCCTGAGGCTCGGGGACACTTGGAGTTGAGGAATGAAGGAGAAAGAAAAGCCACTGGGAGAGACAAATAAAGGCTGATGTCACAGAAGTCGAGAGAACGGAGTGTTTTCAGAGTTGGGTAGTGAGCAATGCCAAGTGCTACAGAGAAGTTAGAAAGAATGAAAGCCCACCAGTTCCTAGCGTTTACTATGCAGAAGCTCGGGGAACAGTGTTAAAAGCAAATCACCCACGGACACAGCATTATCATTTTGGATAGTTTTATGACACCTAAAGTCTTATTCTCTGCAGTTTTAGTCCGTAGCTATCGTACTGAAATTAAGTACACGTCCCAAATAGGATGAAAACTGACGAGCAGGTTCAGGGAGAGTTTCGATGGAATGACCCCAAAGAAGTTTCCTTTTCAGAGGTTTTTATACAAGATCTGGAAAGGCCTGCTGAACCAGTAATTCCTTTATTCGTATCTGTGCAGTCTCTGTCGACACTTTCAGTCCCAGCATTTCAGCAGTTCACAAAAAATTCTTATTAATCCTGTCCAGGTGTTTTGTGCACAAGAATCTCGCTGTGGTTAGGGCATCTGGGGCAGCATTACGCAACACTTGTGCATAAGCTTTGATGATCAAAGCTGAGGTTTGATCACTTTCAAATTGAAACCACATTGTTTTTTGCAAACACTAGCCATTGGCAAACCTACGTTTTAATTTCTTATTGGTTAATCTACTGGCATAAGATTACCCTACCTAGGATTTAGAACCCTGTCTGCATTGCTCACAAATGACAGTAGGCGGTACAGGTGAGTACTCAATAAATGTTTTCTGTATGAATGAATAAATCTGTCAGTTTGTTATTAACATTGTAACTACCGTGAGCTATTATTTTATATTAGGAAAATACTCTCAGAAGAGCTAAGAGCATAACTCCGGAGTCAGGCTGCCAGGATTGAAACCCTGGGGCAGCTCTTGCTAATTGTGCAATCTCTCAGTTTCCTCACTTTCTTTACCCAATAACATGGAGTAATTATAGTGTGTCCCCCTCATAAGATTTTTGTAAATGTGATAATACATGTCAAATTGCACTTAGAACAGTACCTAGTAAGTTTTCAATAAATGTTAACTATTATCATTAAATATCCACATTTATTTTCTATATTTACTACCTAAATGTCATTTTATTTAAGCACTGAGAAAAATATTGCTCTTCAATGATGTTTTGACAGTGCAGGTTTAATAATAAGGCGAGGGCCGAACAAATGTCTACAAGTCAACCAGGGAGCCTAGAAAAAGAAATTTTTAGCCTAAAAAAAAGTTTTAGACATCATTGCCCCTCCTTAACTCCATCTACACAAGAAGCTTCTCCCAATTACAATTATTTTGGTAAACTTGGCAACTGTATCCACACAAATGCTGAAACAAGCCAGGCTATGATTGCTCCTGTGTGTCTGGGAATAGAGGCCTTGGCTGTGACTCTTTGTGGAAGTTCTGCGCAACTGGGTTTGTAGGCCTTTGCCTGCACTGCCACCCCTGGAGTTTCACTGGAAATATAAAATGGGATTAAACATCATTCTCTGCAGATGTATCTTTGTATAGACAAGCTTTACCTGTGCTTTCAAGACCACATTGGAGGGCCTCCTCTCCACAGCCTAATGCTAATGCCAATCAGGACGCAGGGTGTGGAGGGTCCCTAAAGTTCCTTCCTGGGCCCTAGAGGGGTCTTGCTTCATCAGCATGATTTCCCCTTTCCTAATAACTCTCCGGTCATTTCCAGGTCTTAGGGCTCACTCCCTGTCTTATTCCAGACCACAGCAGGATTTACCAGGGGCAAAAAGTCAATGCAACAAGGAGAGATTTATTGCAATTAACTAAAAAGACACTTGTTAAGACAGGAATATAGATGCTACAGCAAAAGCAGGATCCCAGCTTGTGGCTGGCTTTTGCAAACAGTCAGGGTTTTGCCAACACAGCCTATCTATATCTATCATCTATCTATCATCTATCTATCTATCATCTATCTATCATCTATCTATCATCTATCTATCATCATCTATCATCTGTCATCTATCTCTATCATCTATCATCTATCTATCATCTATCTATTATTTATTTTGGTCGCACACTCACTAACAGTGCAACATCCAGACCCAGGCATGTTTCCAAGGTGGGGCGATGCAGAGGCTGGCACTCAGATAGGAAGATCACTTCCAGGGCAGTAGCTCTTGGCAGACCATAGCAACCACTACAGGTTCTCTGTTTGGATTGCTGGACCCTCTACCCTATGTGCACCTTCCTTTCAAACAGAATTCTAGGTATACTGGGATCAGCCAGTTCTTAGCTAAAAAGTACCATATTTCCCAGCTTGCCTTACATGGCCAAGATCAGTGACTTGCAAGGTGAAGTTCCCTGGAGATCTGTGGGAAAATTTTGCGTCCTAGTATAGATGCTGCCTCTTGCCCTCCCTTTCTGCCTCTCTCTAGGTTTTGTGAAGGCTAATTCAGCTAATTCTAAGTTTCCTTTTGATTGCTTCCCAGGTTGAAATTATGCTCAAAGATTTTGAAACTGCTGGAAATCTGATTTCTAGGTAATAAGAGTGTTTTTGATTCCTTATTGTTGAGTGCAGGGGTTGATTGCTTTTTAAAAATTGATTTACACGGTTTGATACTGAATATTCTGAGTGAAAACAAATATCTGCCGTTTTTCAAAGTTATTAATTCATACACAGGTGAACAGGAGATTAGGTCATGAATTCCAGAGATCAACACATTTGAGGAGTGGGCAATTTATTTCAGTAAAGGGAAAGAACTAATTTTGCTACAGTGGGAGAAAAACACATGGAATTCAAACATTGCTGCATTTCACTGCATCCCTATTGACCTCTGCACAGTGTCGTATCTCGATTCCCTCTTTCCTTTCACACCAAGGTACTGAGTGAGGACTGTATCAAGTTGGCATATCTGATTCAGAGTGCTGGCTTCTACACCACTCTCCTCTCTCTTTTTTCTCCCATTATACACTTTTGACTTTGACATTTGCCATATTGGAAATGACAGGTGCCTGAGGGCAAATGCATCAAAGCAATTAGGATCAGAATGTTTGCCGAGGATTATTTTTTAACAGAGCAGAACGTAGTGTGATTGAATCTCCTTTATTGTGACAGAACACAATCTAAATAACTGTAAACCCCAGAAACTACCAGAAGCACTTAAACCTTTAGTGCAAACATATTTATTTTTCAAACTCGGGACATTTTTTTCTGAAGTACACTTATGCTCTAAATACCCCTCTCCCTTCTTTCCTTTACAACATACCATTTCAATCTGTTTGTTTATAGAATATAGGCCTCAGGGAAAAGCCCTATTCACATTCCCACAAAAGAAATAAATATTTGTCTCTAGGATCCATTGAACTGAACTTGACTAAATGCTGATAGAGGCTCCAATCTTTATAACAGACATGTAGAGGATGGATGGTCTTTCATTATCAACAAATTCCTGTTAATATACCTAAGCAGTTCACTAAATTATTGTAATGCCTTTATTGAGCTCCTATTATGTGCAAAGTGTTGTTCCAAAGTAGACACTCTTCCTTAGATGTAAAGTAGGCCCCTGAAATGATAACTTCAGGAGTTTAGGGCTTTGATATACTCAAAATACCCTGATAGGAAATGCTTGCTGCTGCTGGTGCCAAAAGTGCCCAGTTTATTTCTAGGGAACAGCTCAGGCATTGGAAGAATATAATCCAAACTTAAGCATTAATAAAAGGTGGAGTAAGAGAGTGGTTGTACCTTTATGACATAACACAAATGGCAATATGAAGTACATTCTGGTGACCTAAAATGCTAGCATCTCTGCAAGGTAGTCTAGGAAATGACACCAGTTTCAAAGAAACCAGTAGCAACGTGAAAACAAACCAGGATACAGATTGATTGTAATTTGTAGGAAAAATTAAAATATAGAACCACTAATCACCATTCCCTAACACTGAAATTTTACTTCCTCGGACACAGTGCCATCATTGGGAAACATGGGAGAAAATGGAATCAATTTAAAGCATATTAAATAAGTAATACAGCCAAGTTTTGTGTGTGTGTAGTCCCAAAGACTTTTCAACATATTTTTCAGCATTACAGTTGTAGGAATGGAAATTGAAGAAATTATATTTTCTTAGAGATAGCTTACAGATTTTTACAGCTCTCAGTGTGAAAATAGGACACATCATCACCATAACACAAGCTATTTTGTCTATAACCCATAAGACATAACTTCACAAGACATCAGGCTTCCAAGGTCTAGGTGCTTCCTTCATATGTCTTTGTGTTTTTCCCCCCTGAAAAATAATTCAGAACCCTGAACTAAATAAGTTCTCCTTTCAGGCCAAGTGTTATCTGCTGGCAAAGTACCTTCAGGTTAAATATGCCTGCATCATTTCTATATTCCACAAGTCAAGCCTCCATTTATAAGCTTAAACTCAGCTCTGGGTCTCTCTATTCAGAACTTCCCACACTTACTTCATGTGGGAAGGAGAGAGACTTATTCAAGGAGAGCTCAGGACCGGCCTCGGAAAGTCAAACTCAACCTCATCTCCTGAAAAGAGCCTCAGTAGTCTCCCATTCAGTCACTTGTTCTTCCTATTATTTTCTAAATATGGTGATTAAATAAAATTAAATGTAAATAAGAAACAGTAATTAAATTAAAAACTTAAAATAAATTAAACAAATACGAGGTCTAGCAGTTTTCAGAGAAGGTAACAAAGGTCAATTTCCAATAAATTCACATTCCCTTCGGTACCAGTATCTACAATGAGTGGGCAACACTGCCCTCTAAAGGGCTTATTGTGTTACATCCCTTAGTTAACATGATGGGGAGGTGACCCAGGATGCATTGACCAGTGCACACACTTCCTTTTACTTCTGGGACATAGTGTGTCCTTGACCTTCAGTGAATGACTCTGAAGACCATGGGGCTCCTAAAGAGGGCCTAAGACTTAGTGAAAGCTCACTGAGGGGATCAGAAACTAACATCTGCTGCAGTGTTTTTCAAACCTTTGTAGGCATCAGTATCACCCTGAGGGCCTGCTTAATACAGGTTGCTGGGCCCCACCTCCAGAGTTTCTGATTCCCTAAGTCTGGGGTTGAGTCCAAGAATTTGTTTTCTAACAAGTTCCCTGGTGATGCTAATGCTGCCAGTCCAGGGGCCACTCTTTGTGAGCCAGACATTGTGCTAGGCACTTGATCTCACTTAATTCTCACAACAGAGTAAGGTTTTAGCATCTCTCTTTTACTAACCTGGAAGCCAAGTCTCACAGTAGTGACAGAGTTTGTAATAAACCCGGGACTATCTAACTCAAAGCCATTGCTCTCTTCTCTACACTATGATGTCAGTAAATGAAGCTGTTATGTCATATTCCTTGGTCTCAGCTTCTTCCTGCAAGGGGCAGCACTTAAAGGACTGGTTGGTTTCCCTTCTCAGAGTCTGGATATGAAGCCACCCAGGAAGGTCCACTCCATCCCCAGGACGGACCCCTGAGTGGATAAGCTGGGAGGGGAGGGGACCGCGTGCCAGAGCCAGGGGCCTCTCTTGGGTGCTGACCCCTCCTACACTGTTCGGAGGGGGTCACTTTGCTCTGGACCCTGGAGGTCTTTGTGCTCAGAAACTCTGGAAGAGAGGCTTTAGAGCGCGTGTCTCCTCACACAGGCATTCTGAGGGCCTCCAAGCCTAGCAGGGCTTGGAGGGGACCCAGAGGGTGGCCATGTCTGCACCCTTTTCAGCCTCAGCTCAAACCACTGGGGCAGGGGCAGGGACCACCCAACAACTTAAAACAGGAGCGCCCAGCGACGTGAAGGCTGGATGGTTTTGATAAAGGAGAAATAGTTTTCGGGTCACACAGTCCACCAGGATCAGGAAATGAAACAGTCCTCGGCCGCCGACCCCAGCAGAATGTCACAGGGATGGGCCGAGAAGGGCTGAGAGCCCCGCACTTCTTTCCCATCCTTTGCATTCCCTTCCTAACGCAGGATGGCGGTTCCCTGCGGGAGCTGCACACCCGGAGCACCCACAGGGATGGTTCCTGCCCTCGGTCATTAGGACAAAGGATGTTCTCAGAAACACAACGCCGAGGGCTGGTCCGCGGAGACCCTGAGGTCGCGGCCACGTCTGGGCCCGGCGCGGAGCCGGACGGCGGCCTCCAGCTGCTCGCTGAGCCGGTCCAGGGCGCCCGTGCAGGACTCCAGGCTCTCGGCCAGCTTCTGAACCGTGGCCCTCAGCACCGCCTGGCTCACCTTGGCGGCGCCCTCGGCCCGCCTGGGGAGGNGCGGCCGCACCGCAGCAGCCGGCGGTCGCCGCGGCCCTGCCAGCGGCAGAAGAAGTCGAGGAAGCCCAGGACCTCGCGCATCTGGTCCTGGCAGGCGGCCGCGATCTCCTGCACCCGCTGCGCCTCCCGGGAGCTGCAGACGATCA